ACCGATGAGTGAAGGTAGTTAAAATAAAAACGTTGTCATGACCATTATTTTCGGTATTTTTTGCAGACACAAAGGTCGATGTTTGCCTTTTTTTTTCATTGTTTGTGGCCATTTTCCTTTCGATCATCGCTTTCCACATTTATCTAAATTGCTATATCTTCTTTGTTATGATTGCAGAGAGGTTAATAAATGATGAATATTACATTGTATTAATTAGTCTATTTGTATTACTTTTTAAAATATTGCAAATATACAATTATTCTTGTAAATAGACAATCTAATAAATAAATAGCGTTTAATATTTTTGTAAATTCTCAAGAACAGAAAAAAAAAATTGTATAAATTCACTTTCAATATATGTTTAGGTTTTATTACAATTCTAATAAACCCTTTTCAAAACAATAAACATTGCAGAGAAGGAATTAAAATAAAAGCGGAAAAAATGGGGAAAATCTTTATTTTGACACCACATTTTTTTTTTTCAGGGAGGAATATTCATGTTGCCAAAAGTACAACTAGAAATTAAGATGAAAGTAAATATTAGCCAAATAAATAAATAAATAAACTAAACGCAGAAAATGTAACTAATCGTGAAAAGCCGCCGATTAAGCGTAAAAAAATGTATTCATCAACATAAGAAGTTAGGAAAAGTAAGTCTAACACTTGTAAATTGGTAGATTGAAATAACTAAAAAAAACTCTGAACGGATATATTTCTACCACAACGTCTATATGCACTCTTCTTCTTCTCTGTGCCGCGTCTCTTCAGGACATAGGCGATCATGGATCTCCACAACTTTCTATGTTGTTCTTCGGAGGTTTCTTCCTTTTTCTAAGGCCCCTGTTCCGCCGTTTCATCAACCATTCACACAATCTCGCCAGATAAGTGGCTCTCGCTGCCTTCCTCTATCTCTCTTATTCTTGATACGATGGCTTCGTAAGCGTAGCTTAGATGTGACACAAGGCCGAAAGAACGGAGCATCCAAAGGTGATTTTCTAAGCATAGTTTAGATGTGGAACTAGGCCGAAAGTATGGCGCACCTTCTCAGGATCAAACTCACTATTCCGTTGTAACTGATCTAGCCAGATAATCTTGCTAACCATTACACCATGTCGAAGTGCCCATCTTGCTCTTAATATGCCCGTGAAGGTTAAGTTTTCCAAGCCTCCTTCCGCATTATATGTCCGAGGAATTTCAGCTGTCTTTTCCTAATTCTGAGTATAAGTGCCCTTTTTGTTGCCATTTTCTTTAAGACTTCTTGGTTTCTTATTCGTTCCAACCATGGAATTCTCAGCATCCTTCTGTAGAATCACATTTCTCTTGCTTGAAGATTTTTTTTTTAAATTTTTTAATTTTAATTTTTTTTTTGTCGTACTTGGGGATATTTATTCCTATACAAGAGGGTGGATATCATATAGTCATCTATCATTCTTTTCTTTGTTTCTAACGATTTTCTTTTCGTTTCTTAGCACCTTACTTAGCTTTTGGAATGATTCTTTCTCTAATCCAATGCGTGCTTCGGATTTCGGTGCCCATTACTCTTTCAAAACGCTTCCCAAATATTTGAAATACTGCACCTGCTTGATGTTTATATCTCTAATTCCTAACTCGTATCTTGCTTCCCGTGTATTAATGTGGAAGTATTTCAAACAAAAGGTTTTACATCACGACTTGATTACGCGGACGAAGATTTACGAGGGGACCTGATATCTGTTGCTGGAGACATACATTGCTACTACCAAGGAAATTGCTCGGACGAACTACATTCTTTGGTTCTTCAAGGTTTAACCTTCAAGGCTAGGACCTGCTATACCACTTTTTGTAGCAAACCACCCACATTACCTCAGTATTCCATAGGTGAGAAGTCAGTTTCACACGCACAGCTTCGTCCCATGAACCACTGCTCTCTGGAACCGACTCCCAAGAGGATGCTTAACTGATCACTACAATCTTAACCAATTCTGGTCTTGGGTTAACCGTTATCTCCTATTCGTATAAACTGTCTCTAAACGTAACCCTCTGCCACGAGTGATCCTCGGACTTTGTACAAAGTCAACCTTTCTGTAAAAATAATAAAATAAATAAAATACATAAATAAATAAAATACGTGGTCGTGCGTTTAGAACCATTGCTTTCCAACCATGGTCGATTTTTCAGAAAGGTAACATTTTGATATTATTGGCCTGATGATGGGGGAGTGGATCCTAGCGTACGGCGACGTAGGAAAGTGCTTAAAAACCATACTTCAGTTGAGTGAGATTGGATAGAAGGGACTGTTCGAAAGCCGGCGATGGCTGTGCATGCACAACATCGCAAGTCAGTGTGGCCGTGCTTTTGAGCGTACTGACCTTGTTCAAACGGTTGCCCACACCAGATTATGCGATATCTCCAAGAAACTGTAACTAAAGTCAGCATAGTTGCAGTATACATCACAGATTGGCTCTGTGGGTGTTAAAGAAGCACAAGTGATCCTGAGCAAATGTCTGCTACCTTCCCTATCATGCACCCTTTTGTTTAGGGAGGCTAGCAAATCTCGGAAATGAGTATCCAGCCATATATATGATGGCTGATAGAGTTATTGAGTATTCTTCTTTATAATCGATCATGGCTCTCCACAAGATCCTGTTCTTTGCAGCTCTTAATATATTTTTTCTTTTCGTTAATTCTCCTAAACCGGGTTCTGCCATCCATTTACTCAAGTTCACTAAGTATGTTATGCGTTGTTTCCCTCTGTTCCTTTTGCCCACAATCTGTCCTGTGAGTATCAGATTCTCCAAGCCTTCCTTCCTCATTATGTGCCCCAGAAATTTCAGCTGCCTCTTTCTGGCGTTAAGTATAAATTTTCTTTTTGTTTCCATTTTTTCTAAATCCTAGTTGTTGCTCACATATTCGACCCCTAGAATCTTCAGTATCCTTCTGTGGAACCATATTTCAGTTGGTTCAAGTCTCTTCTTCATCTTTGAGGAGATTGTTCAGCAATCGCTGTCATATTGGAGGACAGATATCACGTAACAGTTCAGTATTTCTTTCTTTGTTTCTAACGCTGTTTTTCTGTTTCTTAATACTCTGCTTAGCTTTTTGAAGGCACCTTTCGGTATCCCAATGCGTCTTTGGATCTCAGTGTCGCACTTTCCATCCTCTGTTAGAACACTTCCCGGATATCTAAATTTTTGTGCTTGTTTGATTTTGGTATCCCCGATATGTAATTTGCAGGTTGGTCTTTTGCTAACAACCATGTATTCTTGTAGTTTATGTTACCATCGCAATATATTATTGCAAGACACAACTGTGACATGTCTGCGAATGAAATTATTAAAATGAAGAAAGACGTTGTACTACGTTAATCAAACTGTTTTAGCAAGGACAGAAGGAGCCCAAAGAGAAAGAAACACACACACACACACACACACACACACACACACACACACACACACACAAGTAATTCTCAAAATGTGCTTGTGTGTGTTGTTTATGCATTTCCACAATTTTCATCCAATTTCGCTGAAATTGTTTTGATTGATAGATAATTCTTTAGTAGCGGCTTTGAGTCCAACTTGTTGGCGACAATGGCTCTCCACTACTTCCTGTCCATTATAATTCTCAGCAACGTTTTACTATTTCTTAGCTGTTCTTGGATATATATCTTTCATAATAAAAAACATTAATAAAAAATAAATAGTATAAATTATTACAATAATATTATTTATTATTATACAGCTCCCTTTTCAGGGCCACCCCCTCATTCAAATTGTTACACCCCCTACCACACCACCACCATTTTGGGATGTACCCCAGTTGCACCCAATTGTTACTAATATTGATTTTCGGGTGGACTGACTTTAAACTTAAACTGCTCCAATTGAACGGCAAAAAATATATAAATTAAGATTATGACTTTTTTACTTTTTGTAAAATAATTGATTTCCTGTATCAAAATTCGATGAACTTTTGTCTATAAATAATGTAGAGGGGGGGCAGTTTATTTTTGAAAAATCATAGTAAAGGTGGAGTAAACTTTAGAGGCTCGGATTGAGGAATTGGAGATCCGAGTTTAAATTCCAGTCGAGTTCATTGCATTCACTTACGCGCTAATACCCTTGGGAAAAGGTAAGCATCCATTTACTGTCCCCAGGTAAATGACAGTACAGATTGGATCCTATAGTCTAGGAGAAGGAAAGCTGTAAATTAGAACCAATCTGGAGAGGGTTGGGCTCCGTCAGGGTATCTTGCCAACACGCACACACACATCACTTCTACTACATCTGCAGAACATGTAAAACTAAAATTAACTTTCTCGAGCCTTTTTGGAATTTTCTAGGAATTTATGAAACCTTATGTATGTTATGCTTTAGCTATAAACTGTGACATGCGCTAAAATGCATAAGTACTATCCAATTGCATCATTAGAAAATTGAAAAATAAAGCTTCAGTAAGTTTGCAGTTGTTTATTTGTAAGGTTGTGTGTTATGCTAGAGCTATAAACTGTTAAATCCGTTAAAATGCATGAGTATTATCGAATTACATCATTAGAAAATTGAAAAATAAAGCTTCTGACATACTTTGAAATTTTGCTCTTATTGCGTATATGGTAAAATCATATTTTCGTTTTAGAAGTGACCTTTTTCAAGAACTAAAACAAATTAATGTTTTTTTCATTACTTCTGCACAAAAAGCATCGATTTATGACACAGGAATATAAGGTTACGAAAAAAGCATAACGCTAATATACCTATTTTCATACATATATATATATATATATATATATATATATATATATATATATATATATTATATATATATATATATATATATATATATATATATATATATATATATATTAGGCAGCATATATTTTATATTATAAAGAGATAATTGATATATTATCTTTTATAATATATATATATATATATATATATATATATATATATATATATATATATATATATATATATGTAGAGAGATTGAGAAAGATATATATATATAGAGAGAGAGATAGAAACAGGCTGAGATAGATAGACATAAACAGGCTTAGATAGATAGATAGATAGATAGATAGATAGATAGATAGATAGGATAGATGAGATAGATAGATAGATAGATAGATATGAATAGATAGATAGAGATAGATAGATAGATAGATAGATAGATAGATAGATAGATAGATAGATAGATAGATATAACTACAATCGGCAGCAGTTCTCTAATCGGGAGAGTAGAGATTTTGATGAGCGTGGAAACACTTCTCAAATGCTGTTGTTCCCAGGTCCACTCTGAAGCGAACCGGTCGCACCTGTTAGGGGTCCCAGCTATGGGCAAATACTGAACCCCAAACTAAAATGAAAACACCAGGAAAGTATAAAAATACATTTTTTGTAGTAAGAATACCAACAATACATTTTAAGGAAAATAATTTACAACAATACATTTTCATGGTAAAATCACCAACGATGCAACACTAAAAAAAGTATCAAAATACATTTTTTATAAAAAAATTACCCACAATACATTTTTATCATCTATAAACTATATATATATATATATATATATATATATATATATATATATATATATATATATATACGTTTACTTTTAAAGTATATAATTATTTACAAAGTATTTGTAGTTGCAGACATAAAATTGTTTTCAAAATACATGTAGTTGAAGCCATAAAAATTTAATACAAAATATTTAGATTTCGGCATTAATCCGTAGTGGCTGATATGCCGCTAAACAAAAATCATACTAAATTAAACTATATATATATATATATATATATATATATATATATATATATATATATATATATATATATATATATATATATATATATATGTGTGTGTGTGTGTGTGTGTGTGTGTGTGTGCGTGTGTGTGTGTGATGAAGCAAAGTGGAAAAGCTATAAGCGTCACGTTTCGCCGGACGCATGTACGGTGGTATCTCAATGGTTCTTTTTCTCAGAGATACCAACGCATTTTTCTTACACACAGTTTTGTATTTCATTTCTGACCTGAAGAAGCCGAAGTCGAAAGCAACTGACATTCGGCGAAACACGTCGTTTATCGTTTTTCCACTCGGCTTCTCCAATTGTGTTTCGGATACTGTCTACTCTCCCTCTTACACACACACACACACACACACATAGAAAATAGTATGAATGTCGTTAGACTAATTAATCCTAAAGCACAAATTAACATATCTGCCTGAAAAAATGTCTCCCAAGAAATACATAAGTGAGACATCACGGAATTTCAATAAACATTTTTATAGGAGTAGATAGATTCGTCTATCGCTAGGTTCACACTCCTTCCTTTTTAGAACAGTAGTGTTTTATCCCTTGTTTTCTCTTTATGATTGAGTTTTCACTTCTTTCTCATAATTATTATTATCAGAAAAGGTCTGACCATAATTTCGATTTAAAGGATGTGGTTTTGAGTAAAAGAGAAATTAATTGATTAAGGTGAAAATGTATTGAAAGTGCACTGATTTCGGAATTTATGGAAAATTTACGTCTAGGATAAAAAAAAGCACATCTCATTTCCTCATAGAATTACTACTAACTGAATATGGCGTAATTAAAAATATTTATTATAAAAATAAAAATGTAAAAGCGATAAAAAAAAAAATCTGGGTGAGATGGGTTAAGATAAATATGTCGATACATCGATCGTCAAAAATAAAGCGAAACATTTTTGTATCTTTAATGTTTAGATATAAAACTGTAAGGGGTGTTTGTTGTATTTTACCGCCAACATTCTCCAACTTTTTTGTATACATGACTGATTCTTTCAACAAACCCTAATTTAGTCTAAATTTTTCCTCTCCATTTTGTCATTCAATAATACGTACCAATATATACATATACATATACAAAATTACATACACACCTGCAAATATATATATATATATATATATATATATATATATATTATCCATATATACAAATGTAAAAGTGAATGTCTTTATGCAAACATATGGAAATACTCAGAATATGTATGTGTACGCACAAATTATTCCCCAGTGACCCAAAAGTAATGTCTTTTTAAGATATTGTTTCGAAGTTATTTAAATATGTAGACATATGTATACAAGCTTTCCATATATACGTATGTGTGTTTTCGTGTGCGCCTGTGTGTATGTGTTTGTGCAGACGATATATATATATATATATATATATATATATATATATATATATATATATACAGAGAGAGACAGAGAAGAGAGAGTGAGGGGTAGAAAAACCTAACACAAAATGCGATAGATAGAAATGAACATGGTGAGAGATAGATATATATATATATATATATATATATATATATATATATATATATATATATATATATTTGGTTGGATTGATGTGAGTTTGTGACCCTGGGTTTCACGCTTTTGCGATCGTCAGACAAACTGATTAATTTTTTATATATTTATATTTATACACAAACTTTGTCACACACACACACACACATACTTACATATATATATATATATATATATATATATATATATATATATATATATATATAGAGAGAGAGAGAGAGAGATAGATAGATAGATAGATAGATAGATAGATAGATAGATAGATAGATAGATAGATAGATAGATAGAGAGATAGATAGATATTGCTTAATTTGCCCAATGAAGGTAAAGAGTAATTGATTTAATTTTGAATATATTTTTTTACTTCAAATATTACTTTTTTAGTCAATATTCGCATCAGTGCGCAGGCCGGTAGACGAAACTAAACTATTTAAATAAACGGTAGTGTCTGCACAAATACGGTATATATATCTATATCTATATCTATATCTATCTATCTATCTATCTATCTATCTATCTATCTATCTATCTATATATATATATATAAAATTTTATTAGTTCAAATAAATACGCGAATTTGAGTAAACGCTCCGTATTACTAGAGATACACGTATTTGAGTATAAACAGTCTACCGGCTTGAACAATCGATAAAACAAGGAAAATTATTATTTATTTATTTAAGTTTTTTCTCGGGTGTGCAGGGCCGGTCGATAAAAATAAATTTTATTTAAAATAAAATTTATATATATATATATATATATATATATATATATATATATATATATATATATTTTAATTCCAGCTTCGTTCTTTTAGTAGGGGACGGAATAAACGCTACTATCATACGATGTGCCTCCCACAGTTGCATCTTAAAAGACAACCGTGAAAAGAAATTAACAACAAACCTTTGAAAATGGCTAAAGAAGTGGCCGAAAGCATTTGGGATAATAGACACTACTGACAATTTTTATATCCTTTGCCCCCACCAAATAGAGAAAATTGAAGAATACTTTAAAAACTCTATATAAAAATGAATCAAATTTTCCCTTGTCTCTCATATTCAACGAAACATGTTTGAAAGAAAGTTTGCTCCATAATATATATAATATATATATATATATATATATATATATATATATATATATATATATTTGATATAATATAATATAATATAATATTATATATATATATATATATATATATATATATATATATATATATATATATATATATAAACAGGGAGACACGGAAAAACAGTCATATAGGCACAAAAAGTGCAGATGGACTAGAATTATCAGTTGAATTTTTAAGATTTTTTTTTTTTTAATAAAAATAAATAGATATAAATGATCGTCTCTTACCTGGAATCGAATCGAACAGGCGCCGAGGACAAATAAAATTAATGGTAAAATGGAGTTGTCCATGGTGGCAAAATCCCGCAAGTTTTGTTGGGCTGTTGTGATCTGTGTATGAATAGATTCACTTTAGTTTTGTGTAAGGAGTCAAAGCAGTAAACTCTGGAGTTTTTTTCTCTCATTAGCCGTGTTATTATTTATTATTATTATTATTATTATTATTACTATTACTACAACTACTAATAATAACAATAAAATGAGCGAATCGCCTGGGGAGAAAATGTAAGAGAAACTCTAGTGGTTGTTATTGTTGTTAATGATAACTTCTGAAGTTGGCGTATAGTTGTGTCTAGTGAGTAGTGTAAGCTGTTCGTCCGGTTAGCAGAGATGGTCGCATAGGAGAGTCTGCATATTAGGGTAAAAACGAGAATAGTGGTTGTATATATGAGGGGTGTGGGTGTATGCTTAAATACACCGTGTGTCTGTGTGTGTGTGTGTCATTTGGCGACTGTTGATGCGAATGTAGCACCCCCCCCCACACACACACAGCACTTGTTGCGGAGATGGGACGTGTGTGTGAGTCAGTTCGTGCGTGTGATTCTGTGCTGAAGCGTGTGTCTGTGTACGTGGACGTCGGTACTGAAGAGAGAGTGTGTGTTTGTCGGCAAGAACTAGGCCTCACGCTCTTTCTTTCTTTCTTTCTTTCTTTCTTTCTTTCTTTCTCTCTCTCTCTCTCTCTTTTTGTGTGTGTATGTGTGTGCGCGCGTTTTGGGGAATGCGCGTAGATGTATGTGTAGGAATGGAATATATAAAGGAAAAACGAAATGAGAACCTTAAACGAAAAATTTAATGACTTGTTCGTATGAATATACGTGTCATGCGTTTGCGTGCGCGTGTACGTGTGTGTACGCATACTTTACGCACACGTTCCTTTTTTTTTATTAGCCTGAAGCTTCTAAGGATGACAAGGCTATGATTAGTTCGAAAATTAAACGCATTTTAAACATTGAAGCGAGGAACAGACTTTTATTTTTCAACGAACGTAAGTAAAATGTTCGAATAATATTTGTCAGTTTCCAGATTTTAATTTTAAAGTTAGCCATATGATCCAATAAAGGTATCCAAATGAAAACAATATAATGCAATCTACTATATGTACGTACATATGCGCGTTTCATAACACAATTCTTATTAATAACGATCATATTCCAAGCAAAAGAATATAATTAGCCTTATAATATCCACATAAGATATCCTCTCAGAAAGACCTTACAACCGTGATTACCATCCACCCACAAATTTAATCTTACACCCTTCCACTCAACTTAGGGAACATAACTGACATTTCTAACTCTCATTAGGCTCATATTTTAAGCATGAAATAAGGCTCAAACTTGATAAGTTTGCTTAGCATGATTAGGTCCAGATAAAATTACCTGATGCTAATAAAAAAATAAAAAAATACAGCGTGCAATAAAAGTAACGCCATTTTTTATTTATTTACTTTGATTGTACAAAAGTAAATTACAGTTGTTTAAGATGGCTTAAGAAGAATTATGGCATACGTGTTCAAGAATGGTTCGAGCTTAATTTCAAGCTATGGTTGATAGGACAACATGAAGCAATAAAGTGCCTATTATGATCACTATACCTAAAACCACCAGACTTTTTCTTGTTGAGGGTGTATTGAAAGATCTTATTTACAGGCACAAACCGAAAACAAATCATAAATTAAAAATAAAAGCAATTTCTGATAGATTTTCCGAAATTAATGTAGAAATGTGTCGAATGGTTTGTAGATGTGATGCTGATAGGGTTCAGGGTTGTACTGGACACGAAGAGGAGCATTTTGAACATGTTAGGTTATTAATCATGTTTTACGTGACAATACTTTTAACTTTTCGTAAACTACTGTAATTTATTTTTGTTCAATAAAAAAATAACAAATAAAAAGCGTGTTACTTTTGCTTGACCCGGCATATACAAACTTGTTGACAGTATCCACTGACTATTCTCGATTGAAATGGAGTTTTGTTATATATATATATATATATATATATATATATATATATATATATATATATATATATATATATATATATATATACCAGGTCCAATAACTTGAGCAAAATATGTCGTGTTAATTTTGACGCCTCAAAAACTAAACTTATCCCATTAATCATTCCTGGAGTTTAGCATGGCTGATACTAACCTCCAGGAAAGTGACTCGTTGTGCCTTCTTGGGATCACGTTCTCTGCTGATATGAAATGGAAAGACTATATTGAATCCATTGCTAGGTTGAATCACTTGGTTCACTGTGTCGGCCGAGACAATTTTTCCCTCCAGAATCTATCTTACATATCTATAAGTCTACCATTCGTCCATGCTTAGGACATTGCTGCCGCATATGGTCTGATGCTCTTGCTATTTAATTTGAGCTCCTTGATAAAATCCATGGAATAATCAGCAATATTATTGGTCCTGATCTGGCGGCTCAGCTACAGTCACTTTCCCACCACCGTAAATTACCTCTTTACAGTTTTTTTTTTTTTTCGGATGATCTCTTCGCTATGGTATCTAGAGATTTTGAATTTAGGCCCAGCACAAGATTGACGTCATGATCTCATCAATTTACAGTAGAGCTGGCTAGATGTAACCGTAAATTCTATGCTAACAGTTTTTTTTCTTGCACTTCTCTCTTGTGGAACTCTCTTCCAGCTCCATGCTTTCCAGCCAACTTTAATCTGCAAAAGTTTAAATGCAATACCAATCGTTATCTACTGTCCTCCTGATTACAATCTTCTCTTTTTTGCTCATCATTAATGTTTCTGTTCCTAATTTTTCCACACCCTGTAACCCCTTGTATTTTAGTGGCATTACTGTCTTGCTTGGGATGGTAATGATTTAAATATACATATATATAGATATAGATATATATTTACCTTACATTTCATTAGGCCATGTTAATTTCTTCGCCGACTCTTTTGTACAAAATACAAATGTCGTTTGGAATAGTCAATTATTTTAAACCTCACTTCATGCTTAAAATAATTGACAAAAGACATTTATATATTTCACAATTGAATACATGGTAGATGATACTCAGCATTTGTGTATATACATGTTTACGTGGATATAATTACCAGAGGCGGTGATATGTTTGTTTTAAGTTGTAGTTTTGTTGAGTTTATATTTTGGATTTGATTTGGTTTGATTTCTTGAAGAAATTGTAGGATATTATATGGATTAATGTCATGAAATAGATCTTTCGTGTTGCTTTATTGGTTGATATCTTTAGCGGCATATCAACCTCTAGGGGTTATTTAATGTCAAAATCTAAATAATTTGAAGAATTTCAAGGCTTCAACTAAATATATTTTGAACGCAAATGTATGCCTTCAACGACAGAAAAAAATGTATTGCTGGTCATTTTGCGTTAAAAAAAATGTTAATTTTACTGTAAATAGATATTGTTGCTAATTTTTTTACATTAAAGTGTAAACCCACGTTTTTTAGATATATAGTTTGTAGATGATAAAAATGTATTGCTGGAAATTTTTACTATAAAAATGTATTTTGGTACATTTTAGTGTTGCATCGTTGGTCATTTTATATTGAATATGTAAATTATTTTTCTAAAAATGTATTGCTGGTATTTTTACTATGAAAATGTATTTTCATACATTCACAGTGTTTTCATTTATATTTGTTTGGGGGGCTCACTATTTGCCTACAGCTGGGATCCTAACAGGTGCTACCACACCAGGTCAAGGTGAACCAGGGAACAACAACAGTTGAGATGTTGCCACACTCTTCAAAACCTTCCAATCTATCAATCAGTGGCATTAAAGCTGGATGTAGTTTGCTAATATTATACACTATATTGTATGTACATATATTTGAGCTTTTCATACCCTAAATACATTGTTACCATCATATTAAAAAAAAAAAAAAATTAACCATGTACAATCATAATAAGCTACCCTCCCAAAGACCTTACAGCTGTGATACCCCCACCACCAATATAATGTTACCCCATATCAAATTATGGAAAATATTTAAAATTTCTAACTTTCATTAGGGTTATATTTTAAACAGGAAATAAGACTCAAAGCTTTGAATTTGCTAAGCCTGACCAGGTTTAGCTAAAATTACCCGAGGCTAGTAAATAAATAAAATTAGATGAATAACGTATGTGAAATATGCACCAATGATACAAAATCGATTTCATTTTACACAACAAATACGTATTTTTCAACATAATCTTCTTCCTTGTCAATGCACTTAATTCAAAGGTCATATAGATTATATATTAGTCATATAGATTAAACATTATATAATGAAACTTTCAGATCGAAAATCAGTAAATAACTATATCTCAGGCCACAGACTTACTGATCAGTCCTCGTATTTATATGCATCTCTCTCTCTCTTTATATATATATATATATATATATATATATATATATATATATATATATATATATATATATATATATATATATATATATATTAGTTAAATAATTTAGGCTTACTATGTCTGTTTATTTCTGTTTTAATCTTTTCGAGACCATGAATCAATTTCTTGGTAGCTGTAGAAAATTGATTAAGAAAAATACCAAAATTTTCTTTCAAATAATTTTTATTTTCCCAACTATTTTCAGTTTCAACTGAGGCCATTTTCAGCGGGTTAAATTGACTTTGTGTGTCTTTCTGTAAGTTCAAAACATTTTTACTGTTCATTTTACTACGTTTTTTATCGTTTTATATCAATTTCAAATTCAAGAGGGATTTCTCTTTCCATGCAAGGGAGGCAAATTTTGTATTCCTTAATTTATTATTATTATTATATATATATATATATATATATATATATAAACTTTGATATAAATAATTAAGAACTGTATTGCTATATTCATAGTTGACTTTTTTACTTTTTATTTTTAACTGAATGTCGGATTTTATGTATGTGTCTGAAGTTATAGGAATGTTTTATTTTCCAAACAGGGTCAGCACAATATGGCCGTGTTCGTAGTTAATGGTATTTACTGTTGGCTTTCCATTTTTA